CCCAAAACCCCAAAACCCCAAAACCCCAAAACCCCAAAACCCCAAAACCCCAAAACCCCTTTTGTTAATAAGATTATTGGGATAAAATAATTTTCATCAACTAATTCTTATGTTCGCTGAGATACTTTTTATATCCGGCATCTGGATCATTTGGATCGAATAATCTCTTCATTCCTTTCCAGCAATCATGGTAGCTTTCATCAACAGCCTTGTGGGAGTTGACGCTATAAGAATCTGTAGCTCCTTCTAAATCGTGCATGAAACTCTTTGTAACTTTCATTGTATATCAGGTCTCAAACATAAAGGCTAAGCACCCTTCTCCGACTTTTTGCGGCTACTCGATCAATTTATAAACTTACTTTCAGTTCTCAAGTTGAGGCTTTCTCAACAACTTCTGCTTCTGGACCATGTGCTGACATGCATGAGTGCAAAGAAACTGCTCCAGGTGAGAACCCTTCTTCTTTAGCATCATACTGGCCTGCCACGTTGCCCATGAACTCGTTCATGGTGTTTCTGTGGAAGTATGGAGGCCTGAATGTGTCTTCCATTGATAGCCATCTAGGAGGGAAGATCGCGAAATCTAGAGCGGCTTGTCCATGATCGGGAGTCTGGCAAGTGAGGACGGTGAAAACAGAGGGATCGGGATGGTCATAACTGATACTTCCCATTGTGTTGAAATGATGGCAATCATATTTGTAAGGATAATAGTTTCCATGCCAAGCAACTATGTCGAAGATGTTGTGTGGGATAGTATATTCGAAGAATTTTCCTAAATATTTCTGGATCACTCTATATTCATTAGTCTCATCAAAGTATTTTGCTTTCGGAATCGCGAAATCTCTTGGATTCGCGTTTCCATTAGTTCCAATTGGCCCAAGATCTGGAATTTGAAGATGCCCATCATAGAGTTCACAATAATAGCCTCTACAATCTTCAGTAACTTCAACTGCAAATTTGATTCCTCTTGGGATAACTACAACCTCCCAAGATTCTGCTTCAATATGTCCAAACTCAGTCATGATCGACAACTTTCCTAACTGAGGTACAATCATGATATCTCCGTCTGAGGAGAAGAAAGCTTCATTTTTCATCGATGTATTACAGGTATAAACTCCCATATTTATTCCTGCCTAAATAAAACAGTTACATCCCCCACATGATATCAATCTTACCTTCATAGAGGGATCTCCTGCCCCGGTTATACTGTTTGGATACCCTGCACGAATGTGATCTCTTCAGAAGGAAGATCAATGGGAGTCCATCTCATTTGCTGAGGAGTGGTAAATACTTCCTCATCATCATCTCTAGCGAAGTTAGCGATCCACAAGTTATTGTAATCCTTCAGAGCTTTGTAAGGAGGATGAGCTACTGTTGGCATTATTCTATACAACCAACTCCTTTGCATCTTAGCTCTTGGATATGTGAAAGGAGTCCCAGAGAGTTGTTCTGCATATAATCCAAATTTGCATTGCTGAGGGTTATTTCTGTGTTTTGGCAAGGCTCCTTCGATAGCCTCAGATTCAAAATGATTTCCGAACCCATGGTGGTATTGATCTTCATCAGTATGAGTTGTTCCCTTAACTTCTTCCTTATTTTCTTCAGACATATCTTCTCTTGATATTCTTAAATTTTAATTTTTTGCAGCATTTGTGACACTTATAGGGGTTTTGGGGTTTTGGGGTTTTGGGGTTTTGGGGTTTTGGGG